GAAGGAGTCAAACCTAAAATATGAAAGTCAAGCAATGCAAGGAAAAAGTTTGCATAGCCTGACATGGCCACAGGGAGGCAGCAGAGGGTGAGGGACCGGCCTGGGGGCTGCCACAGTCACAGGGAAGTAACAGCACTGATTTGGAAACAGCCCTAGCTGTCCTGGGTTTGAGTGAGTACTGTCTTGATTAATGGCTCGACCCTTGATTGTCTCCTCTGAAATCCTGGAATGCTCTGAGCATCAGCTGAAATACAGTATTGAAAGAGCTGTACTATACTTGAATAATAGACTTAGAATCCTGACTTTGAATCGTGGTTTTTCCATTCTATTCAAAAAGTCGATAAGTAGTTATTGACTGATGCCTACTATGTACAAGGTACTTGTGCTAAGTACTTGAACCAGGTAATTATAATAGCTAATATTCTTGGGACATCAATGTTGTGCCAAACACTTTTATTTCATTCAATGTTCCCTATGAGGGGTGCACTCTTATCCTCATTTTACAAATGAAGGAACTAAGCCTTGGAGAGGCTTAATTACTTCCCAAGGTCATAGAGCAAATGAGCCAGGATTCTAACTCCAACATTCCAACTCCACAGCAAGGGCTGTGAGCTGCTTTGCTGTGATTTGTTCTGCCCCATCTTATCAAGATGAGTAAGAATGGCTGCTGACCTTGAAGAGATCAGTTTAGTCGAAGAAAAAAAACAGTGAAGAGCTCAGTTACAGTGCCATGCCACAGCAATCATGGTAGGAACAGGGTGTCCCAGATTAACTCTGTGTGGTGGACGTCTGGGAAGGCTTCACTGAGGAGGTGATGTTTTTGCCGGATTTTGAGGAAGGCATTTCCCTCCCCACCCCCAATTAAAAAGAAAAAGAGGAAGAGGAAGAAGACATTCCAAGCAGACAGAACAGCAGGTGCATAAAGGCCATCTGGGCAGGAGAGAAGTCAGGAGAGGGACTTGGTCAGATCAGAGCCAGCCTTGCATGCTGTGGTAAGATCTGGACTTTCTCTTGTAGTCAAAGGTGAGCCACTGAAGGGCTTTAATGCAGCCATGATGTGCTCAGATCTGTGCTTTATGGATAAAGACTGGTGCAGCATAGAAAATGAGTTGGAGGGGGAGAGGCTGGGGGAAGAAGACCAGGTGGGATGCGGTTTTATAGCCCAGATTGGAGAGGATGACAGTCTCCTTTAAGGAAGTCTTGGTGAGCCTGGGAGGGGAAGCAGCGTCTCTGAGTATCAGGGTTAGGGAAATAGAAGACAGTGGGTATCGAGGGGGACGATGGTGACCTTGGTTTTGAACATGTTACATAGGAAGAGCCTGTGGGACAGCCAGGGAGAGAATTCTGGTAGGAAGTTGGAAGTGGAAATTTAAACTTTTCTCCTGCTGGATTTAAAGTTAATCGTGAACTCAAGAGCCATGTGCTAGACACTTACACACTAGGCCCCGGGAGTAGAAAGTGGGAGAAGAGGATTTGCCTAATCCCAGGAGTTTGCCGTGTGGTAAAGGGAGGCAGATAGCAAGGGGCTAAGTGGTCTGACTCGGGCGAGCACCGCAGCAGTGTAATATGAAAGAGAGGCATCCGTCCTCAGACCCACAGGCTCAGGGAAGGCTCCCCAGAAAGACCCTTGAGCCAGCTTCTGAAAGATGCATCCCTTGGCTGATTAAGGAGGCAGTGAGTAGGAACGATGAGAGTAGAGGACACAGCAGGGATGTGGTCCAGGATGCAAAAGCAAGGAAACTTGAAACAGCGAGTGGATCTGGCAACCGTGAGAGATTGGTTTTCAGGGGGCAGGTGAGGGAGGAGTAAGAGAACAGGCCAAGAGGCCTTCAGCAGCCTGCTCAGGAAGCACTGTGCCTGCGATGTCAAAGCCTGAAGGGGGACGGCACAGAGCTCCTGAGTTTAAAGAGATTGCTAGCTGTGATCTTCAGGAAGTCACTTAAACTCTCTGAAAACCACTATAGTATGGGACTGTTTTCAGCCTGACACCTGGGAGACGTCTAGGTCAGCAAAGAGTTGTTCTTCTTTACCTCTATCATGTACCTACCACCTTCAGGCCACGTCATGGACTCCAAGACCACCCTGTATGTAAGAGGGAAGGCTAGGGGGGTGGGAACAACATTGCGGATGGTCTCACTGAATTGCAGAGCCTGCCAGCACCAGCCCCAGTCACTGGATGTCTATCATCCCTGTACATTTCTCTATCAATCACTGATTACACCCACCTTTTCCTATTGGCACCCACGTTGCTTCAGAAAGTACACATTTGTGTCCTGTCTAAACTTACTCAGAATCCCCACCCGCCATTAAATGCAACTACTAGTGGTTGATAGCACAGTTACTGCTTCTAGTTTTCTGCCAGGCACACAGGATGCCCTCGATAAATGCATGTAAGAAAGCAAAAAGATGGAAGGAAAGTAAGGAAGACAACGTTAATTTCTGACCCTCCTGCCCACCTCCCTGGGTACCCATCTTTTCTTTCATCAATCATACCCCTCCAACCCACCTCTTGCAGACTAGACTCCCCCCATGGTATAACTGGGTTCAGATCTCATCTCTGCCATTCTCTCTAGCCAGCTGCCCTGAGCATGCTCCTCCCCCTAGGAGCTTCTGTTCCTCACCTGTATTATAGGGTGATCACACCTACCTCACAGAGCTGTCACCAAAACTAAATGAGATCGGGGCCTGCCCCAGAGTTTCTTCCCATCTTCCTTCCTAGGCCCTTAAACTTAGAATCCCTCTTGGCGTCACCCACAGAACCATCCCTTAGATCTGGGCTTAGAGTGTGCTTCCATGGAGTTTTCTACCCAAAATACCTGACATCTTATCACTTTACTCAGACTAGCAATAGGGGAGAAATGAAAGTCAATAATAGGTCCAGATCCATATATAGACAGATAATGCAACATACAGTTTTTTTTTTGGTGAGGAAGATCGGCCCTGAGCTAACATCTGCCAATCCTCCTCTTTTTTTTGCTGAGGAAGACTGGCCCTGGGCTAACATCCATGCCCATCTTCCTCCACTTTATATGGGACGCTGCCACAGCATGGCTTGACAAGTGGTCCATCGGTGCACACCCGGGATCCGAACCGGTGAACCCCGGGCCGCCGCAGCGGAGCATGTGCACTTAACCACTTGCACCACCAGGCAGGCCCCTACATACAATTTTTTAATAGTAGTAATCAGAAAACAAAATGAGGGGGCCGGCCCTCTGGCGCAGCAGGTAAGTTCTGTGTGCTGTGCTTCAGTGGCCTGGGGTTCGCAGGTTCAGATCCCAGGTGCGGACCTGCACCACTCACCAAGTCATACTGTGGCAGCATCACACATACGAAATAGAGGAAGATAGGCACAGATGTTAGCTCAGGGCCAATCTTCCTCACCAAAAAAAAAAAAAAAAAACAACCAAACAAAGAAAATAAAATGAGGATGAGTAGGATAAGAAAGGAGAACAAGTAGGTGATGGGCAGAGGAAGAGCAAATTTGATCCTTTTGAACCTCTTCCCAAATTCTTTCAAGCCCAGCTCAACCCTCTTATTCCCTCAGCCTCTGGAATGGAGCAGCCTCATGGACAGAGGGGCTTCCTGTAGCTCATCTCAGAGACTTCTATCAAATCATAAAATACTAATTCTTTGAATTTATATGAAATCATAAAAGAATACTAATGCAAATCGAAAATAGGCCAAAGTGAAAATGCCACTGTAGTCACCACCTAACTGATAATGTATGGCTACTTGACCAAGAGGAAGCGCCCCTTCCGCTGTTACAAGCCGTACTGGGAATGGCTGGTGCTGGGTCGGGGGGACAAAGCATACGGGGTCTGAAATAACAGCCAAGCCCGGTCCAATCAACACAACACAACAGCCCCGCATAAGCTGGGGCTGTCATCAGCTAAAGGAAGTTACCGGTCACGGTGGCCACCGTTAGAACCAGGCAAACATGGGTCATTCACTTGTGCCTCTGCCTATGACGCAACAGCTCAGCCACCTGTCCTGTGGAATTTCCCGAGGTCAGTTCCTCCACAGCACTTCCCTTTCCCTCTTCCCGACCACAAAGCCCTTGGAGACACGATCTCGTATTTGGATTTTATTTTTATTTTACAAGAATATAACCTGCCCAAACAGGAAAACAGGGATTGAGTACATCATTCATACCTAGGAAACCAGCTCCTGTTACAATAATAAATAAATATTTAAACAGTGAGGAGTTCCTGACAGGCGCTAAAAGATTCCCAGCACGTTCAGAGGTAGAGTCTGGTGGAGAGAGGGAGACAGTCAGGCTGCCAGGTCCTGTTGAGATTCTCCAGTCGAGGCAAACTGAAGTTACAATAATAAATAACAATAGCAACAACACAACAGCAACAAAAATAATATGCTATGACAATCGTCACAAAACCAATATGTTATACTTAAATAATTTTCTCCTGGAGGAGCTCAGAGTGCAGAGAGAACAGTGTTGATTTTCTGGGGCAAAAAGGGGCTGCCTGGTCAATTCACCTCGCCAGCCTGAGCTCGTGCAGAAGTCCCACCATGGAATGTTTGCTCTGAGGCGACAAGCAGGTTCTGATTTTCCCCCAGTCCTGCTCTTCCAAGCAGCCTCTCTCCCCAGCTTCTATGGTCTGTCCAAGGGTCATCATGGTCCCTGCCCCATTTCTCCTAACACCCCAGTAAGTGCACCTCCCATCCACAGGAAAGAAACACGAGGCTCCCCTTCCATCCTGGGGTGTCTCTTTTTCCCTGTTCTCAAACCCACAAAAAATATTGGCTTGATTTAAACAGGACTTTTGGGAACTGCCAGGAGATTTGTTTCTTACCATCCTTTTCTCCCTCGTTCCACACTGACGGGTATAAGAGCTGGACTAGCCCCTCACCGAGAGAGAGCCTCACACCTTTCCCCTCACGGACCCCACGTTCAAGGGCAGCACAGAGCTAAGAGAGGGCACATCCCAGCAGGAGACCCTGGGCAGGCCCTGCCCAAAGGTGGACCCTGCTGCAAATGCAGGGTCAGAGGCCACCTGCACGAGGTCACCAAGAGCACCAAGATCAATTTCACATGAGCAAGAAGGCCTCTTTTCAGGGCTCTCTACTGACTTGGAAGGGGCTCAAAGGCTAGTTTTTGAGGTATAAAAATCTCATTTGGGGCAAACATCACATTGGTCCCCTGGCCTTGACAAGACTGTGGGGCTGGACACGGGGGTGTTGAGAAGTACAAGCTAAGGGACCCTCGGGCAGCCCAGAGGCAGGTGAGGAGGACGGAACGGCTCCACATCCACCGCTCCCTTCTGTGCCCAAGACAGTCTGGGAATTAGGAAAACAGGATGCGATCAGAGTCAACTGTTCAACAAGCAAAACAGATGATCTGGTTATCTTCCTCTTTCTCATTTTCCAGTTTCCCTTTATCACATGTTTCCCCAACTACCCTGGAATATTTCCAGAATGACAGGAGCCAATGTTAACTCTTACACCACCATTCTTCTCCCGAGAGAGCCCCACACAACCCTCATCTTCAGCCCTTATCCACAGGTCCTAGAAGTCGGGGGAGCCCTCTCATGCATGGAATTCAGTCCCATAGTATCTGGAGGAAAGGGTTTTGCTTCCAAAACAGGCTGCCAGAACGGCTTTTTTCTTCACTGTCCTCTCACGCTTGCTTTGCAGAACCTGCCTCCCACACAGGGGCGGCCACCTCAGGGATGGGTGACTCCACCTCTCTTCCCGGCTGGCTTCCTCACTGCCATGAGGCTCAGGTGTGTAAGGGCTCAGCTGGCCTGCTGGTGGATGGAGAGGCAGAGGCGGCCGAGGCTTGGGCAGCCAGGTCCCGGTAAGCGGGTGACTTCAGGAAGCGTGGATAGGAGTCCTTCTCCATCAGGGCACGTGTCTTCCCCTGAGCCACGTCGAAGCACGTGGCCATGGCAGCCTGCAGATTCGTCCTGGTCAGCTCCCTGGTCTCGTGGTCTATGTTCACCTGTGGGAAGGAGGGCAAGCGCATGGGTGAATGGGGGTGGGAGGAGAGTGGGCAAGGCGAGGGGTCCGGCAGGCCAAGGGAGGACTAGCTGGCAGGTGGGACAGTGGAAGGAACACTGGATTCTGAACCAGGAACCTGGGGTCTTCTGAGTCAACCATTAACTGGCTTTTCCATGCTGGGCCTGTCCCCACATCTGATCTAGTGTCTCTAGTGTCTGCTCTCCACTCTCTCAAAATTATCAAGGATATATTAAGAATGTATACAAACCCAACCCCTTTTCACCCCTTCCTCTGTAACAACCCTGGTTCAAGTCACCATCGCCTTTCTCCTAAATTAGTGCCGGAGCCTGCTACCGGGTGTCTCTCTGCTACCCTTACCCCCGTGGTCTGTTCTCCACCCAGCAGCCAGAGTGAGCCTTTCAAAACCCAAGTCAGTTTGCTAGCAGCTCTGCTGTCTTCTCATGTCACTCAGAGGAAAAGTCAGAGTGCGTGCTGGGCCCACATGGCTACCTGAGCCCACATCTGGCCATGTGCCGCCTGTCTGACCTCATCTCCAACTCTCTACCTCACTCTCCCTGCTCCACAGGCCCACTTGCTGGACTGTGACTACAATGGGCACTCTCTGGCCTTTGCACTTGCCATTTCCTGTGTTAGAATGTTTTTCCATAATTCTTTCATGTCCGTTCATGTCACCTTATCGGACAGCAAAGTGGAGACTTTGTTTCGGTCATTGCTACATCCTAATAACTATAAAAGTGCCTCGCATGCAATGAGTGCCCAATAAATCTTTATGGAATAATGTGGAATAAATAAAAGTGCTCAGAAAAAAAAATACAAAATAAGACACAGAAGCAAGGCATTACTATTCTCCGTCCACAAGGTGGCCCCATGTTCTTAACCGAGTGTGGACACCAAGCAGTGGAGGCCTGAAAGGTAGGTTGACAAGCTCGCTGACCACAAACCTGCTGGCCAGAGGCAGGTCAGCCAGGGGACTGAGCCAGATTACACAAGGTCCCTAGGATGACCTGTTTCGCCAGGTGTGTAAGACTTTTGAGCCTCTAAAAAAGGCTCAGTCTACGAAAGTGGGTATGGACAGAAGCCAAAATACCTGCCAATCCCCCTGGCCCCATCTGTGAGTCGGAGGGTAATAGCACCCAGGGGTGGCATGGAGCCTGATTTTCCTAGTCTCCAGAAAGAAGCCCACTCACTACTGTGCCAAATAAGGCCATTCTACGCCTAAACTCAATCCTTCACCTGCTGGCCCCCGCCACGGTGGGGAAGGAGCAGGCAGGGTCTGGAGGATCCATGGAATATGTCACGGCTCTGACCTCTTTAGGGGCTTCGCTGCGGATGAACTCCTCAAAGATCCGGTGAGCCTGGGAGGCCAGCTTGGTAGCCGACCGGATCTTCTTAAACTCCTCACAGGCCAGCCAGAACTCCAGGTTCTCCTCACTGAACTCTGTCTTCAGGAAAGTGTGGAAGGCAGCCACTCCATCTGGGGTTGGGATGAGAGAGGAAGAGACAGGTCAGACCATGGGACAGCCAGGAATAAAACAAGAAAAGACAGCAATTGTGGTTAATGGCTCTATTTTTAGGATGTAATTTTCTTGAACAAGGACCTGCCTTTGTATTCTGAATAGAGGCTGGCACACTAGGGGATCATTATTATTATTCCTACTATGATTATTTTGCCCACGCTTTCAGCATCCCTCAGGCTGGCTCCCAAGCACATGAGCACACATGTGCCTTCCACAGACAGACACCACGGGGCAGACTCACTTTTACTGCTCAGCAGCAAGTCAAATGACTCTTTCCACCCCAGCACATCTTCTGAGAAGTTTCTGGTGGGGGAAAAAAAAAAAAGCCAAGATTTTAATTAAAAAAAAAAATCAACAAAATAACATGTAGCACAAATCCTAGTCAGAATCCAAGGGGAGTTGCATAATTTACACAAAGATTTGCTCGGTGATTATTGGAGCTGACACCTCAAACTCTTGGTTGGGGTTAGGGGAAACAGAGGACTATTTAGGAACCAGAAACCAAAGCCAGGGACCTTTTGGCCCTCAGTAAATATTTCTAAGGCCATCTCCTTGCATCCAAAATTGTTTCCATTCCCCCGACTCGCTGAGTTTTGTTTTGTACACTTCTCCAAGGAAATAAGGGCCTCATGAATAGAGATTATGTCTACCCATAACCTCAGAGCCTAGCACAGCACCTAGCATAGGTGATGTTCAAAATGAAAGGGTTTCTAGGCAAGGTGCATGCTAATGGAAGTACAGTCATTGATTAAAAAACAGGGGCCTCAGACCCTGTCCTGGCCTCGGTTGCATGCACAATGACATCTCCAGGTGGGAGAGTCTGGTAACTAGACATCCAGACCCTGGGTACGCTCATCTGTTGGTAGACCTAGAACCCTGGAGCCACCCACCCACTCACCCATGGGCCAAGCAGCCATAGCAGACCAGCAAGAAGCTCTAGCAAAATCTCCAGAGAGGGGTCGCCAAGGTCTGCCCTAGCATGTCCTAATTTCTCCTTGTATTTTCTCATGACTCCTTTCCTAAATCTGACTCCCTCCCTCTAGGGGCCCTCAGCTAGTGAACGGGACTTACCTCTCTTTGCTGTGTTTACTGCCCCATTCAAACTTGCCAACACTCCCAGCATCAGAGCCCAGCTCTGATTTGTGAAGCAAGATCCCCAGCCGGGTCTTGAACTCTTTGGCTCTGGAAGACAAAGCGTGAGCATGTAAGGATTCTCTATTTGCTCAGCCAGGGCAGAGAGGTTTATGGGGTCCCAGAAGAGCTCAGGCTAGTGCCACCCAAATTCTAGCCTCAAGGGTTCCTGGGAACCCTAGGCTGTTCCCAGGGCCTAAACTTTGCTTCTTTCATTAGTGTCATGAAGCCAGAAACAATGAAAGCAATGTTTGAGCTTTTCCTCGGTAGGTCGTACGCTTTCTGGGTTTCCAGCACTGCATACATGGGCTTTTTTCCACCTAAGTCACATTGATCTATCTTTGTGCCTGTTAATTAGCAGAAGGCAGTTCAGCACCCTCTGGGCTTGTCATGAATATTTCTGGAACTGTGTGGAAACTGATTCCTGCCTTCATTTTTACCTTTCCTTCCCAGCCACCAGTTCCAGTAAGAATGGGAGGCGGCTGAGTAGCTCTCTGGGAAGCCGGCACATCCCTCACTGGTGGACCCAAAAAACACTTCCCTGCTTCCCAGGGCCAGAGGAGGCCATGCCCCTAGATCTGGGCTATAGAATGAAAACCAAGTGCTGAAGAAACTGGGGAAGACTCAGTTCTGCCTGGTGATGCCAACGTGGTCTTCCTGCAGCCAGGTCTTCAGCAGGTCACCTAAGAAGGACTCCCATTTGTCAGAGGATGGGGAATGGCAGTAAGCACTAGTCCCTTTGCTTCCCTTTGCCTTTCCTCCTCCCTTGTCTTGGCCTATGGCTTCCCTAAGATTCTTAGGGAAGCATCTAAGAACATGGAACCAAGCTGACCTCTGCCTCTCAAGTCACTAGCATCCCATTCTCCCGCCCACCCAGGTCCCCAAGCCTGCCACTCCACTCCCTAAAGGTTGGTGGGACCTGGACTTCTTCCTCCGGGCAGCAGGACAAGCTCCTCTTACCTCTCCAGACAGGTTGTCGGGAAGGCGGCCAGGGTCCGGCACATGGCTGCGGGTGCAGGGCAGCACGTCGTGGGGAGGATGGTGGCGGACTTCAGCGGCCACCGCAAGCGCGACGAGGCAGAGGAGCGGCAGCTAACACCCGCGCGCGCAAGTTGCGTTTATTGAGCTGCTTGCGAGGAGCTGGCGCTACCGCGGCTTTTATTCTCTCGGAGGGGGCGGGGCGAGGCTGAGCGCCGCCGACCAATCGGAGAGCGGGACTGAGCGCGGCGAGGGCGGAGGCGGGGCGCCTGGCCGCGGGCTGCGCCTCCCCTACCCGCACGCAAACTTCACACCTGAGGGCACACGGGGCTGCGCGCTCCTCCCCCGGGTGGACGCCGGTGTGGGGAGGGAGAAGCGGCAGAGAAGTCACACGGAGATGAGATGCGCACACTCAGCTTAATAGGAAAAAACCCTCCGGGCTCCAGTAAAAGCAGGAAGCCGACTCAGGGGGGACGGGAG